CTATACTTTTATAATGGATAGTTCAATGTTGAACCACAGAATTCAGCAATAGAAAATTACAATGTATCTAACAGCAGTTTGCTCTAGCTTAAAACAAAAACTTCCATCTTTCCAGTCAAACACACCAATTGTAGCTCCTATCCAAATACAAGTTCTGTGAACTAAATGAATGATTTGGAACAGGATAGTATATAAAAATAAAAGAAAATCAATAGAAAAAGTTGATGGTTTGCCTGATGTGAGTGACATAGATTTCTGCTAGCACTTGGATACAATCCTGGTATCATAACTGATGTCTGAAGTAGAGTAAAAACACATTACAAGATTACTTATTAGACTGTAAGGCACTTAACCAGAAGGCACTGAAAATCACAACTGATAACATTAATCCTCATCTCCACTTTCTTTAGTAGCCTTTGGCAAGAAAAAAAATAAATTGCTATAATATGCAGCAATCTAATCATTTCAAGAATCATGGAGAGGAAAGAGTTAGATGTTGTGAAACAAGGATCTTGCCTCTATTGGCTCCGTCCCAGGAACTGAATATTTGGGATTGGACAGCAGAGATTTTATCTGGCCTTTGTCCTAAAATTCTTGTGCATTTTATTGTCAAAATATCTAACTATGCATTCATTGTTAGCCACCCAATCACTTATTTTATGAAATCACCTGGACTGATAATGCAGTTGCCAAAGCAATTTTTACATCATTGCAAAGAAGAGCAACACACACACACACACACACACACACACACACACACACACAAACAAAAATGCTTTTTTAAATAAATAAATAAAAAACCTTTGGCTCTTCTGCCAAAATGAGGAGAACAAATGGAAAATTCTGGCAGTCCCTTGGGTGTAAAATAGCTTTGGCCAGTTTGAATCAACATCTCACCCGCTGCAACAAAACATTTAGGGACTAAGAAAAATATATGTTTGGGTTTGATTGATATTGTTTTTAATTAGTTCATCACATTCCTTTTTCTGTGATCACTGCTTGTAAGCTTGGAAATATTTGACAGAGAGGATAATTGCCTCATGATCTGCAATATATCAATACAGCTCTCTTCTAGACTGCTTAGTCTAATAAGCTTTTCTTTTAATGCATTAAATCTCAATGACAGGTTTTTGCCTGGTCAATGGGGAAAAATATCCAAAGAGGTCAAAATGTTGGTGTGGTCACAGCAGATTAAAATGAACAATAGGAACCTGCAACTACTCTTACAATACTGGAATCTGGATATTTCACTCCTGTGTAAATAGGTCAAAGGCTTCTGAGCATTAAACAATCATATAAATTGTATTAACATTTAGCCCTGACAACTGGAGACCTTGTGCTCCAAGAGGCTTAATGAAACTCTAACCTACTTTCCAAGCTTCCTAGTACTGTGTAATAATCTCTAGTCTTTTCATGCCATGTTAATTCCTGCAGATCTGCAACAGACTTCAGTCTGCGAAGCAAAATTTATGTCTAAATATGTGAGAAGAAGAAAGAAGAGGTCGTTCAGGCATAGCTGGCACTCTGTGAGAAAGCAGCTTGGTTTAATAAAGTCTTTATTCTTATAGCTTCAACCAAACCTTTTAAAATAAATCTTAAGGAAGCCAGCCAGAAGACGTTTTCTGGGAGAAATTGTCTCTAAAATTCAGGACCTTTCAGGTCAATTTCAAATTACCTTGTGGAACAAAAGCCGCGCAGTGGCTAGCATCAGCTCTTCTTACTCTTTGTTTTCTCCTAGGGAACTTTAAGGCAGCCTATGGAGCATTGCACCATACCTAGTTCCCAATTATAAAAAAGAAAACATAGTTCGCATCAGCATGCAGGTGTTTAGGAGAAAGATTTCTGTCATGTAGGTGAGAAGAAAAGAGGCATTTCTAACTATCAGCTCAACAGACAACTAATGGTAAAGAAGGAGCAGGTTTTGACTTCAGCTAACCGGCACTAACCAGCACTAACCAGCACTAGACAAGATGAAAGGAGAAGAGTCTGGCAGATTCACCATTCAGCAGAGTGATGAGAAGCTACAGCTAGCCAGCATCTTTCTTTTGTTACCCCAGCACAGATTGCAAAACTGCTTAATCAATGCTTCAAAAGCAATTGACAGCAATGAAACCAATTTGGAGGTGGTTAAATGGTGGCTGAAGACTTTAGAGTAAATCTAGGCAACAAAAATAGAATTGTTATCAACTATTTAGGAATAAGGTATCCATACAGGCATAGACATATATGTTAGTATAAGTACTGGATGGTACAGTATAGGCTTAATAATAAGTGGTATGATAGATGTTATGACCATAGATTTGATAAATTTAATAAGAGCTCCCTAGAAACATCGGGAAGATAAAAACAGTCATGGTTCTTTGGGACTGTTCATACTAATTACCCAACAGTATTTGTTTTAGTGATTCTGAAAAACTCTGTGACTTGATATTTAGATATTATGCACTTTTGTCTGTTCATATATTCCCTTTTTTTCTGCTTTCATCTGATTCTTGTTCTATTTTGCTAATAAGTGATGTATGTGCATGTTCAAGTCTGGACATATGCAGAGTGTGCCTGTTACAAACTAAACTGGAAATTACCCACAATCATTTTCCAAAACTCATTTATATTTATTCATATTATTACTTTATATTAACCTAAAAGATGTCACTGGTTAAAGCAAGACAGATCCCATACTTTTCAGTTGTTATTATTTAACCAGTGTGTCAATGAATCACTGCAGCTGCTGATGCTTATTTCTTTTTTTGTGCCACCAAAAATAGGAGCTAAAATTAAATGCCTTGCTTTGAAAGCATTGGGGCTCTCATGCTAAATTGCAACCTATTTAGCCATTTTTGAATGAATCAAATGGGCCTGATGATATCTGCTTCTTCATTTGCAAAACCAATCTTGTTCAGCCAAATGTTTCTCTAGTTAGAGTGCTTATGTTAAGTAGATGACAAAAAAATTATACTCCAAAATAAAATAGAAACATAAGCAATACCTAATCAGAGTACTTCCCCTCTTCCAGAAAAGCACATCTGCACTAGTTTTGTTAACTGTTGATAGCTTTGTGATCAGAATTCCATTTTAACAAATGTTGATAATTATCTGATTTTCAGGTCTAGAATTACATGACAAGTACTTTATTTGTTAATGCATGGATGCGTATGAAGATAGTGTTCACTGATTGACATTGACTTATTGGTCTTGTGCTTATATTGAAATTTACAAAGTCTGATCCAGTATAGGAATACACAAATTTTCCATATTTCAGAAAGGGTAATATGGTCATGGAGAAAGAAATGCCTTTGATTTGAATCTAGACGTATATGACCAAATTGCACTGTTTCTCAAATATATACCAGAAGATAGCAAATTTTAAATTGTTAAGGAATTTATGGTGGAATTTGTGATTAACATTACAACAAACCCAACTGCACTTGAGGGAGAAGCCTGAAATGAAAGGTATTTGCAACTTGCTTTCAAAAAGAGTTTATGTAAAAATGTGCCTAAAATGAGTATCAAATGACCACAAATAAGGGTCATTTAGAAACATAAATTTGGATAGATAGTCCAATACAAATCTGGAACAAGATTTGGACATCAGAGCTTCATATACTTCTTTTTCCAATAGAGTAAAATGGGGGGGGGAGCAACAACTCCAATAATGTGGCATAAATATATGATTTTTCTTAAATAATGATATTTACAGTGAAATAGAATCATAGAACCATCAAATTTGACATTATTGTCATTAAGAGCATAAAATAAATATAACAATTTGCTAAATATGGAGCAAATATGATTAAAATGAGGTATAAGTCATGGAAATTTTGACAGAAATTGTAATTAGAAAACCGATTATATGAGCCTTGAGCCTCTTCTGAAAACCCTTCACATTCAGCTAACAAGAATGAACAACCTTAGTAGAAAACAGAAAATCTTGAGTGTAAACTCTACTGATCTAAGATCACATACTGTACCATAGATACAAGTCTGACTGCATGCAAAAATATTGGGCCATCCACATGAACTAAGATAATCATATGCAAAAAAGAATACATGACATGAGTTAATTATATTCACAATTTGAAACTCTTGCTACTAAGAGCATAATAGAAAAGTTGCCACTGTTTCTCTTAGATTGTTAAAGCCTTATTTACTGCAAATGATTCATGAGATGGAAAGATTGATTCAGGAGTCCCAGGTGGATTTTATACAGCTGGCAGATAGCAAGTCTTTCTCATTTTTCCCCCTATTAACTGGAAAAATGGATCTAAAATTCACTGCAATAAAACAAGCATCCAGGAAGTTCTTTGATCAAGTGTAATTTAACTTTGAAGCAGTAATTCTTTTAGCTTCTATTTCACTGTGGCTAGTTGCAAAACTTCACTTGCCTCCCAACCATACGATATTCACTTTCTTGGTCCATGAAAGTTTATTTCCATCCACTGGACATAGACATGAAAAAAGATTAAAATATATATTTTTAAAATGCAATACTGCCTGCAGGCTCCAGATTACCGGTATTTGTAATCTGTGTAATATCTATGATTTTTGAAATATACTAAAGGCATAAATGTGCATTATGCCATCCAGGTGAAGCCAATAAAAATAACTTCCACCTAGAAGATCTATGGTAGTATTCTCAAGACAGTATTTTAGGTTTCCTTGTAAATCTGCATGGATCTTCTTTGTAGTCAGGTGATGAAGGCATGTTGATTCACCACATTTCATGTATGTCTTCCATGCCACCTATTTAGGTCATATTAATAAGAGCCACATACAGAATATTTAAAATTGCTATCACATTTGTTAAAATGATGCACACTGCTATCAAACCAGTAAGACATCCAGTGTGGAAAATATGAAGTAAACAAGACTAAAATTAAACCTTTTGGAGTGAAGATTATGGCTTGATTATTACAAGAAGGGTTAGGAAAATTTGTACTTTTATATTTTAGAAAATAACAATGCATATTCACATGTTGGCTGTTTTGTTTATTTGCACTTACCAACCTCCATAACACCAGAACAATTGGAATCTGTAATGCCATCAGGACATTCGCAAGTATAGAAACCATCCAAACCAGACACACAGATGCCTCCATTTTCACATGGATTGGAGTCACATGCATCCCCTATAAATGAAAAAAAGAATTGCTCAACTGCATGGTAAACAATATATGTTCATAAGCATTCAGAAGAAATATATATACTTAGGAAATAGGGCCTATTGTAGCCTTCCCCCACCTGGTGTTCTATATATATATATATATAGAACAGCTGACAAAGTGAGAAAGAGCTTGTGGCCTGGAGGTTAACACAGCTGCCTAACATGTAAGCAGCCCAGGTTTGAATCTCAGAAGGGTATGTTTGGCTGAAGAGAGCTAAGAAGCTTGAAATAGCTATTTCATTCTCCCTTATTCTTTGTTAGCAATCCAAAAAATGTATATATACAAATGGTGTCGCAGTTGGCGACTGCTGCCTGTGGATGGGTCTGGATTGAGCTGATACAGGCAAAAGAAAAAGAAAGAAAGATTTCTTTCTCCCATATTTGGGCCAACAGGGTAGGTAAATCTCCTTCCCTTGTCTCTTCCCTCCCTGATACAGGTGACAAAGCGAGAAAGAGCCTGTGGCGTAGAGGTTAACACAGCTGCCTAATATGTAAGCAGCCCAGGTTCGACTCTCAAAAGGGTATGTTTGGCTGAAGAGAGCTAAGAAGCTCGAAATAGCTATTCCATCCTCCCTTATTCTTTGTTAGCAATCCAAAAAATGTGTATACATTTTAATAATATAATAACATTTTAATAACATTTTAGTAATAGCAAATTACTATTCAATATATATACCGTATATGCCAGCGTATAAGGCGACTTCCGCAAGCGTTAAAATCGGCGCCAATGACGGGGGTCATCTTATACGCCGAGTCGTCTTATACGCCAGAAATACTGGTAGTTTCTGGCGTATAAGACGACATTCTAGGAATGCGACTTGGCGACAAAGACTATATAGTTATTTTTATAACTATTACTAGTTATTTTTATATTATAGTTATTTTTATAACTATTATATATATATTGAATAGTAAGTTGCAAAATTCCCATCTTTTATGCTCATCATTTTATGGATTGTATTTTTTTAATTCATCCAAAATATGATGTTTTGGATAAGTATTGTTCTTTTCTTTTAATGCAGACCAGGAAAATTGAATGAAAACTTGATTTTTAAGTATAAAGGATAGGAGGTATTGTAAGCTAAAAATCAAATGTTGTAGCCTCCATCTGCTGGACTGTATATTGACAAATTGATTTCTTACAAAATGTAATATATTTGTCTAGAGTATGACATATAACTTCAGCATATACTCAACTGATTTTAGCATTTTAAACTGCAGAGCTGTCAAGCAGAGTATTATCTAAAAATACCTATTTGATTTCACTGGAGTTTGATTTAAGCACTTGGGTGTCAAAGAGGCATTTGATTAATAGTTCTCTTTCTGTCATACCTGTACACTGTATTTCATAATGTTTTAATAATAATAGAATCAGCTCATGCAATATATCAACTAAATCTCTCTTTTCACATATTCATCTATCACATGCTATTAATCTTCGTCAATTTAAAAATTAATTTCTTCTTATTTAGAACAAGCAAAGCCTAGTAAAAACAACATCAAAATGCAGAAGAAATGGGATTTTCAAAGCAACAATATGGATCAATGTAACATTATGTATCTCCTTAGCTTCAAACACAAGTTCACCAGGTCCAGATATATTCAAACTCTTTGCTTCTCCCTCTTTTTTTCTCAAAGCTATTAGAAACCAATAATCAAGACTGAATCAAGACTGAATCACAAGACTGAATCACAATAGTCAAGACTGAATCACAAGCAAAGCTCATTAGTTCCTATTACAATTAAAGATCGTAATAAAAGAAAATAAGTCAACTTTCAAGCAAACCAGTATGCCAATAGCTGTATACAATTATTTTCATGAAGAACAGGCAACATTGTGGTTATCTCTCAGCAGAAAATCGGGCATACTTTTCATGTGTTATGCATCTGTCTTTACAGGCTAACAAAATTCTTTATATTAAATCTCTATATATGTCACTCTAGCTGGGTGGCTGCATCTAGCTGATCTTGGCTGAATTAAAAAATATTAATTAAGGCTGAACATAGTTAGAAATCCAGAAATATCAAGGTTATAAGCTAGACTGGAAATCAAATGGATCCCAGAAACTCATAGTAGCAAATCATTTCCAGGAGAATGACATAGAGATCAGTATAAAGTTACTACGTTAAGTTCATTTTGAAGGACACTTGATTTTTATATATGTATATATGTCAACTCAACAGTCATCTTACTGAGAAAAATGGCACTGACTTCCTGATAAGTGGATATAAAATTGCAGTTCTTCATGCAATTGAATTTTATATATAAATAAAATGGAAGGAAGGAGAAGGAAAAAAAGATAATGCTTGGAATATGTGGAAGGAAGGGAAAGAAAACGATGATCAGCAATAATGTAGATGAAGTCGATTCAGAGTGGATACGGGACAAATCTCCACTCTGAATCACCAGTTAATACTGATGTGATGGCCATAGTAAATCAATCAAATAATCACAATTGCCTGGCTCTGCAAAGAGGTATTATAAAATATTTCATCTGAAAGGGCTGAAACAAATCACAGCTATCCAAGCCTTAGTACACCTATTTACAAAGAAACAACTCTGTTGTGACAATTTCAGCATCAAGAGAGCTTGCAATGAAGCCAACACTTTCTCAAATGAGTGGGAAGGAGAAGAAATTCACATTCACTTTGCCAGGTATTAGGGAAATCAGTCATTTTGAAAACTGACATGGGTAGCTTTGTTTCTTGCTTGCTGTGTATCCCTTTTTGTCAGTTAAGTATCTGACTAATTTATGTATTGGTTCAAGCAGAGAAACAATGACCTGCCTTTCCATACCTGAAAGCATCTGCTTTTCTCCAGCATGATTGGATGGAGAACCCACGGATGGGTTGTCTTAATCTATCTGCTCCAATTAGACTAAGTCTGAAATTGGCAATGCCCCTCTGTGTCAAGTGCACCCCAGTTTTAGACTTAGTCTCTTTGCTTTAAGACGCGTTTTGTCTTCGCTCCTGGAGCAGAAGACTGTTTAATTCCATTTATTACTTAGCTCAGGCTATTATTTAATAATTTACTATTTGATTTAGAATTGATTATATATAGAACAAAGATCAATCATCCCCAGTCTGAAGCCTAATCAGGCTGACAGACTCACAATCCTCTCCCTCCGGGGGTGGGGGAAACTTTCCCCTTGTTTCTTTCTCCCTCAGTTTAGGGACATCAAGATCAAACCTCTTCGATCTCAAGACTCCGTTTCCACCAAGACGCTGCTCCGACGATCTCCGACTGCCAGCTGATCGTCGGAGGTCGCTGATTCCATACGCTGACGGTCGGCACCTCCGAGAACCAAGGGTAAGCTGCTGATCGCACTGGGGGCTCCGCAAGCGACGATGAACCTCGTCAAGCCCGGAGGGAGCCTTCCCAGGTCCCTCGGCTCCAGCAGAAGGCAGCAGGTGAGAATTTGGGCGCGGCCCAATTTTCGGAGCCGGGAAGGCCTATCAGGCCTTGGACTACCTCAGCGCTTCCCAGCCGGCCTATTTACATGCCACCAGCTGCATTAGGAGCCCAGGCGATTCACCCGAACGAGGGCTCGTTGCAGCTTAGGCCCCAGGCCTCAAGGCCTCCTTCCAATGGCCGCTTTTTGGGGCGCGAAATTGGTGGCCGCCATTTTGAATTGCCTCTCGGTGGCCATTTTGTGTGTGGCTGAGGCCCAGACTGCCTGGAGCTTCCTCCTGAAGGCAGTATTCGATCATCGGTGGCAAGCTCTTCGAGAGAGAGCAGTTTCAATCGGGGAGGGCCTGCTCGCTCCCAAGGGACGCGGTGCCCACTAATTCCCCGCCCACCCCCCTCACGGGCTGAAGTATCTCTGTAGACTCCCTTGGTGAAGTACAGCGCCGAGGGGGGCGTTTTGCCAAGGTTGAGACCAGAGCAACTCATCATGGCAGAGAAAAGCAGCGAGCCGGCAAAGAGGAGACGCCAAGCAGAGGCAAGTGGAAAGAGCACCACCAAGCGAGCCCAGCCAAGCAGGGAGCCACAGAGGGAGGAAGAGTCCCAAAGACTGAGAGCGGCCTCCCAGATCTGACAGGCACGATGGGAAGGTCTATTTTTGAACCCCTTTCTTCACATAGTGCCTCAGCCCCAAGGGCCTGGTCTCCCCCCAGGGGAATTCCCCAGTCAGATTCAAACTCAACAGTGGCTTCAGGGAGGGGTATAACCAGTCAGGACACCTCAGGGCCCCAGGCCACATTCACCCCTACTGCAGCAGGGCTTCGCCCTCCTGAGAACCAGGCCTTGAACCCGAACCCCCTCCAGTCCATGATAGCCCAGGCTGTGGCCCAATTTATGGCCTCCAACACCCCACAGCCACCCCCCCAGGCCACGTATCATTCACAATCTCCGGATTGGATGGATGATCCCGCATCGGATTTGGAATCTACAGGAGCTGAGCAATCTGGCCTGATTTTATCTGAGGACGAGGGCATCACCCCATCCGACCCCACCCCTCCTGTCGGTCTCTTTGACCATTCTTTCTTCAATTCCCTGCTTCTCAAGGCCTGCACTACTGCAAACCTCACCCAAGAACAGGAGACCCCACCAACAACATCCCAGGGTCCCCATGCCATATACACTGAGCCCTCTGTCTCACAGAATCATATCCCCTGCCCTCCCCTTTTTCTAAATATAGTTCAAAAACAATGGGAGAACCTAGGATCCCCCTTAAACTCTGGTGCGACAGAGAGAACATTGTTCAATGTTGCTCCTTCCCTGACCTCCCTTTTGGAAATTCCTGAGATTGATGAGCCCTTGAACTCATTGTTTCCCAATTCCAACATCCCTGGGGACATAAATGAGGCACTAAGGGCAGAGGACAAAAAGATTGAGTCCGCCCTACGCAGGTCCCACCAGGCATCAGCCTGGGCAACGAGGGCGGCAACCTCCATGGCCTTCTTTGCCAAGGCTTCGGTCCTATGGTTACGGGAGCTCCAGGACATGATCCCTCCAGACCA